TTGATAAAGCAATGAAGCATATCAAAATGTGATCTTTTTGGTTAAATTTTGCTTTTGTAGTCATGTGTTTCAAATAACTCAGTATGGGGAAAGTTGGATTAGAGAGGGCTTGTAGAGGCTGTTTTAAGTCTAGGCTGCTTTCTGCATGACCCATGATGTCAGATCAAAACTGGAACTTAGATAGCAAGACAAAACTCATGTGGTGCCGTGTTTCTAACACATGTTCTCATGTGTTGTGGTAACTCATCTAGTGTCTCCCTACCCAAAGCAGATTCATACCAGTGCCATTCCTGACAGATTTTTATTTTTTTATATAGGCCTCTAGCAATGGATATCCTAGGAACACTACTATTTCAGTACTGTTCTGTCATGAGGAGATAAGAATATCATAGCTCTGCTCTTTTGCCCTGTAAATATTCATAGAAGAGTACCAACAGATCTATTTCATGTTATATATAAAATGATTTGTGGTTTACATATCTTCAGTATAAACTATGAAAAGTAGACATCCCTCTTAACAGTATTTCAGATTAGATGAGTTCTTAAGGCTCTTTTAATTCCAGGCACTATAGATGAAATTTTGTAAACTTTTTAACCTTGCCCTTGAGAAGTGTTTTACCTGAACATCAGTATGCTTTCAGCCACTGTTTATGTATCAACACTGTTTGATTAACTAATTTATCTGTTAAAATGCTTGCCAAAATTATCCCAGGTTCTTCCTCTATGTAATTTTTTTAAGGAAGAGATACATGCTTGCTAAGATTCCCAGTTGGCTACTGTAGACATACCTACAAAAAACTGAGCCTGTTTACGACTAGCCATAAGATTGGACATCACAGCATTTCTGTGATATTTATGTTTGTCACCTCGTTTCAGTATAGCTCATAATCACTTCTTCCCCTAATGACAGACAATATTTCAATTTTCCTCCAAGATGGCTAGGCTAGAAAAGAGCCTTCTCTCTTAGCCCTGCCTCTTATGCATTTGGACTTTGACAGGCAATATCTGATAGTAATGTTGCTGGATTTAAAGATAGCAATATGATTGATAGCTAAAAAGACACAAGAAAAATAAGGATTTCTATCATTGACCTTCCAGCGACTTTCTTGAAAGAGAGAGTAATAAGTCAAGCTGCATGTGTACAGTATGTACTAAACTTACACTCTGTAGTACTTTTGAGTGAATATTTCTAGGCAATTATGTGTCAGGGAAATTATTTTACAGTTTTGCTTTTGATGGGAAGGTTGCTATTTTTAGTTTTTTTATTATTGCTAAAATGATTGTGAAACATTTCTGTTTAACATTTCCACAGATCGGTGTTTTTCAAACAGATTTCACAGAGAGACATAGAACAGGCTCATTTTCTGTTCTGCCTTTTTCCCTCATTTTGGTTATTGTCCTACTCCAGAAACGCTTTTGCTGACCAGATCCTATATAACCATCTTTGAACCTAGTTTTTTGAGGCTAGTGAAGGAGAATCCTAGAATCATGCCAGCATCGTTTGTCTGGTTTGCCACTGTTCAAGTGAGCCCAGTGCATCTTGCTGAATGCAGTATCCCCTGGGAAAGAGAAGTCTTGAAGATTCTCTTAGGACTGGACAAGCTTTTAGTGTAAACTGAGAGTGTGACTGTACTAAAATACAGAATTTAAGAAACCAGTTGTTATGCTTTGTGAAGATGCAGAATATTAGAGCATATCTCTAATATTACATGACCACACAATCACACAGCTTTATCGAGGTTCTGTCTTCTGCTGACCTGGTTGTCGTGGTTGTCATGGTAGTCATGTTACCTCCCAGGATGCTTCCCACAGGTCCTAGATCTGTGATCTGAATTTTTGGACTTCTTATACATGGTTTATATCTTCTATGGTTTTGGGTGAGAGTTTCTCTTTATATCCTATTTTCTCAACTATGAATGTAAAAATTAGCAGCCTTAGTGTTTTGGCCTTACCCTTATTAAAATCTTTCCTTTTTGGTTTTTTAGATTTTTTTTGAATGAAAATACTCCTCAAGTTATGAAAACTGTAGTATATAGTTAATAATTTATAACATACACATTATATACCACTTTTTATGAAAAAGTTGAAACAATAAATGTACATACTACCTCTTGACAGAAGCTATTTAATGCCAAGTAGTCCAGGAGTGCAGTGTATTTGGAGTAAAAAGTTCATAAACGTGGCTTAGTGACTAGGGTAAAAGAATAGGGCTGTCATGGTTTTCCGTGGGCATCCATGAAATAAAATAGTGGAAAATACAAAGAACATTCTGCCAAGGCAATGTTCCTGAAGCACTTACGTTTTCTTCAGGAAAGTTGCTGTCTTAATTGCCACTGTAAAAGGATTTGAGGAATGTCTCTGCTAAAGTTCTCTCAAAGGTTCATCTTAGCATCTGGACTGCCCAGCATGTGCTGACTGAAGAGTTTAGCATCAGTTGAGCAGCCATCACCACTTTTCCTCTAAACCATTATCTGAAGCGATGAATTTGTTGTCATTTATTTAATAATGACAAGAATCTTCCTTCATCCCCAAGAATCCTTCATCTCCCTTCATCCCCATCGCTTCTCTTAGGACCAGTTGGTTGATGTGTGGTTGAGAGGGTGATCCTGATGACACTGGGCATAAGCTCTTCTGGGGTCATACCCAGAAAGGAAAGGAGGGTCAGGAATAAACAGGAAAAAAAGCTAACTTTGCCACAGTCTGTTCGTGTAAGTTGCGCACTAGTCTCACGGAAACAATAGGAAAAATGAGAGTCATGGGGTGAGACAGGCATAATTGAATAGTCTGATAAATTTGGAAGTTAGAAGAAGTGAGTAAGAGATGAGAGTAACAGGTGTTGTGAAGAGGATGGGTGACTATCGTCATCCAAGAATCACGATTTTGAAACTCACCAGGAAACTCTGAGCTCAGGAATAAGAGATCAATCTCTGACTTCATTCATCTCTTTATGGAGAAGTTAAGCTTAAAAAGAAATTATCTGTTTGTTTCGCAGTGTTGATTTCCTTTCTGTACTTAGTGTAGATAAATTTAATTTCAAAACATGAATTTAAATGTCCATTAGTGCAGCTATAATAAACATCAATCTATTTATTCCTTAAGCAGCATGTTTCCTAGAGCTATTTCTCTTGTTCCTTACTCCACACTTTTTAATGTAAACCACATTATCAGTAAAAATAATCAGAAATTCTGTTAGAAACTTACGATGTATATGCAACTTTAGGCTAGTGTACCTCTTTGCTAACATTGCCTCCAAGATTTTTAAATGCAGTCAGTCCAATATGCTTCTGGCTCCATTATTTATGTTTAGAAATCTTTACAAAGTATTAAGACATAGAACTCCTCTTAATGATACTCTGCTGATTCAGAAACAAGACCTATAAAATGGAGTAGCCTTCTGTCTTCAGATGCATTGGACTTTGTCCACTGCCTACTCTAGATGCTTTACCATTTTCATTTCATATCTGCTCAGTTCCTCTCTTGGCACAGTGGGTGCCTCAAGTAATCTTGTTTTTCGTGCTTGAGTATGTGCTGGGACCAGAGTTGAAAACAGAGCTGATAAAATGTGGACAAAAATGACATGAAGCAGACTGGAGGGTGGGATAGATACTTTTGAAATCTGTTACATGAACTCACTCACTTTTTTCCTGAGAACATGAAGGGAACAGAGTGTAATTCTTCCAACAGAGAGTGTGAAAAATGAAGGTCTGCAAGATGTGGTGCACATTGCAAGGAAACAAACTATTTCAAGCAGTGAGGCAGTTTTTACATGTTATTACAGCAGAGATGAAAAATTACATTAACATGTATGCAATGGTTAATTTCTGTACCAGTGTGTGTAATTTTATTTGTTTGCTATATGCTTGCATTTCTTCCACATTGATGGAAATTAAAGGAACATGTGCAATGAAGGAGAAAAACTAGTCTATGAAGCTATATCATACTGTAGCCTAATAAATTGAACTTTGTGGAATCTTCCTTGCTGATTTTAACTATTTAATGAAAAGAGAATCAGTATCTCCTCTCTAGGCAGACAGTTAACTCCTTTTGGATTTAAACACCTGCATTAGGAGAAGAATAGACAACTTGTTTCTGGAAGGTTCACACCCCCAGGGTTGCACTTTGTTTCTGCACTCTGGATAATTAAGAAAAAAGTGCTGGTCTGAAAAAAAAAAAGTGAGATCAAAAACTAAAGCTAGGCATTTTCTGTATTTGCTTTTTAAAGTACCTTTCAAATGCTTGTGTCTGTATTGCATTTTACATGTAATGCTATTATTTCAGAACCCTTCCTATACCTCCCCCCCCCCATACACTCCTTCCCATACAGGGGAAGGTCTTTTATGATTACAAAAATGGGACAAAATTTTAGCTGGTTTATTTATAAACACCTAAAAAAAAAATCTGTAATTTGTATGCAAAGTGTTGGAACATCCTGAACCAAAGGATGTCACTGGATAAGTCCTTCCAAAGTGACTTAAGGTGGATAGAAGACAAGGAAGTTCTAAAGGAGGGAGAAAAGAGTGAGGAGAATAACACTAAAGCTGTTTCTTCAGCACCGGTTATTTTCAATTGCTGATGGTCAGTAGAAATGTTTTCTCAAGCAAAATGCCTCTGGTTTTTGATTTTATGCAGACAGCTTTCTGTCTTACAAATCAACAATGTAGCACCTTCCTTTTGTTTTGGATATTTTTTGGTTTATTTTCCTTAAAGGCAATTACTTTTCATTCACGTCTTTCATAGCCACAGGAATTGGTTCAAAGTAGGGATAGCTTGTCTGGTTTTCTTTCATGTGTGTTCATACCTTACTTCATCAAGTCAGTATGCTTCTCTGTGTTGGGAGAGACTGCAAGTTGCTGGTATTTTATAAGGTTGATTTTTATGTCATTAAAACGTGATGAGTTTATTATGTTTTTCTTCATTTTAATTTCATTTCAGAAAAAAAGAAATTGTTTATGCTCCATCTTCTGAAAACCAATTTAATACTAACTTCTTTTATTGTGCAGAGCTGGTTATTTGCCTCAGAATATTCCTTTGGAGATTATGAGGTACCTTTCAGAGGAAAAGGATTTTCTGCCTTGGCATGCTGCCAGCCGAGCTCTTTATCCTCTAGATAAATTGTTGGACCGTACAGAAAACTACAATATCTTCAATGTAAGAGATACAGTCTTCCTTTCTTTCTTCCTCCTGTTCTTCCTGTCTTTCTTCCACTTACTCTCTCCGTCTGTCTGTCCTTCCTGCCTTTCTTCCTTTTGCCTCTTACTCTCTCCTATTATTGCCAAGATTTGAACTGTTCCCCAGGCAGATACTGTTAATGACCTAGGGATATTAACTTTCTTCCTAATTACTCTTTATTTAAACATAGCGATTATCAAGCTTTGGTTCATTTGCAATTGAACAGTGATAACTGTTGTTTGAGGCATGTGTGACTAGAAGAAGGAAAGGTAATTATCCCTCATGTAAAATGTTATGGCAAATAAAGTATTTCACTTAGAAGAGTCAAAGTATTCTATTGCCAGATTTTCTCTTTCGAGGAGCCCCATGGTGATATTTAGGTGGATGCCCAAGATCAGCAAGAACAGCAAATATAGGCACAACTGAGCAGAATACATGCAACTGAAGCAAAGATTTGTAGTCATTATTTCATCCCAAAATCCATGGTGAATTCAATGCAGTTACCTTAATTAACAAGAATTAGATCACCGTTGAGTCAAAAGCCCATTCATAATTGTGTCCAAAGGGACAGCAGTAACAGCTCATAGTAGATAATTAAGATAGACATGGCAAATATTTTAACATTTAGCTGTAGCTACACTGAAGCATGGTTTATGAAGTACGCAGATTTGACTGCAGCCAGTGACAATTATGAACTCTTGGGGTTTTTATTCACTATGAATTTTATGTAGTCTACATATTTTCAACAGCCAGCATACGGTAGCTTTATGTAATGTTGTAAAGCCTTCAAATGAAGGAGCTTTTTAAAGCCTGAAATGCCTAAGGATGCTTTTTGCTTCTTAAATGCATATTTGTTTGTGTGTATGTGACCATAGATGCCATGGTTAGAGAGAAGAAAATTAGAAGTGACTATATGTATATATGTAGATGTTAATACAAATGTAGATATATAGATATATAGATATATAGATAAACACACATGCACACACTGCATACATATACACAGAGTTACCTGATGACATGGAAGATTATTTTTGTAAAACATATGCTAAGGCCTACATATAAACCAGAGCATTAATGTAAAATGCAGTTGAAATAATTTGCATATTTAGTCTGCTGTTAACTGTAAAGAAAAATTCTTGGGAGTCTGCCATTGCTATTTCACTTTTAAACATGGTTGTATAAAGAAAACACAATTTTAATAAATAAAACCAGTAAAATTCACAGCTGGGTTATGTTTTATCACTACTGATGGGAGTTTTGAAAGCTGAGGTGATAGCAGAGAAAATAAAAAGTCTTTTTAGTCATAGAATAACATATCTGCTAGAGAAAGCTGCAGTATGAATCTTCTTTTGTGTTGACATATATACATGCCTATGCATCTGTAATAATAAAATAGATGCTCTCCTATGCAGTTCTGTATATCTTAGTTCTCTTTTTCAAATTGGTGAATTCCACTGGAAAAAGATTACACTGAATACACAGACAATGGTTTTCTTCAAAACTGGTCAGAATATGTAAATATGTTGTCTGTGTAAAAAGTAGAAGTTGCTAAAATATATCTTGTGCTTGTTTTGTTCCTTAAGCACACCAGGAGCCTAAACTTAAAGCATAGTGTCATTAAGTTTACAGAGCTTATTTGCAGCCACATTGTTGCATATTCTGAAGTCAATTGACTGTACTCACATCATGTTTTGACCACGGTTATGGATATTAAAACAGTGTTCTTTTAAAAGTGAACATGCAAGGTGTAGTCAAGATTGGCCACAAAGTAGAATTTAAGCTATTGACACCCTTGTAATTTTTCAGCTGTGCATTGTAAGTTCAAAGTAGCATGTGATATACTTTTGAAATTCATGGTTTTTATAACAATAAATTGTCTTATAAGAGGCATCTAAAGTAGCTCGTCTAGAGACTGCTTCTTACTATAGCAGTGAAGGAAGGTTGTAAGTGGACAGGCAGCTTTGCTAAGTCTTTGGAGTTGGACATTATGTGAGGGTACAAAGAGAGACCAAACCTCACTAGTTAGCAGTATTTCAGTTTCAAGTAAAATGAATTATTTTTAATGTTAAATATACTTTTCTTTTTTCTCCTCAGGAGTATATTTTAAGACAAGTGGCATCAATGTATCTGAAGCTTGGATGGCCCACAAACAATTTAAACAAATCACTTGTTCAAGCATCATACCAACATGAGTACTGTTATATTTAATTTTTTATTGATTAATTGAGAAATATAATTATAGAAATGCACCCTCCTAAAAATTAGTAATGTTTAGCATAAATCAATCGTAATTTCTTAGCTCTGTCACCCCTCTGTTTTTTCTATTCTGGGTTGCAGGGAAAGTAGAAACATGCTGTATTCTTCTTTCTTAAGTTGGGAGAACATGATTTCCTAAGCCCCAGCTTAATATCTGATTGCTGTGGATTTCTAAGAACTTGTACTCATGTGTCCATAGAGGTCGGGAAGAGTGCCTAAGTGTAAATGGGGGCTGGTTTTGATCCATGACTTTTCTTTAGTTGTTGCAGGCATTAAACTGACACTGAGATTTCTAAAGCCAGATTGTCTTTGATATGTTGCCCAACTACTGGTTGCTGTCACTTGTTACAGGATGTATTTTCTGTAAACATTCAAACACATTTGTTAAAGCAGCCTTATTGCTTTCTTTAATTTGGCCAGAGAGCTGCGTCGGGAAGTCATCATGTTGGCCTGCAGCTTCGGGAACAAACACTGTCACCAGCAGGCTGCAACGTTAATCTCAGACTGGATTTCCAGCAATAGGAACCGGTAAGTGGAGCTGACATGTGTATCTCACAGCTCTCCTACTGAAAGGCAGTACAGCTCTTCCTTTCCTGCCTGCCTTCTCTGCTGTGCCCTCTTTTGCAAAGTTTGTTACTGGAGGCAGCAGAGGTTGCTGGCTGTCATTTAAAAATGTCTGTGGGGTTTCAGAACGAATTATTTGACTTTGCATATATGAGTGGGTGAAGGGGATTCTGCCCACTCCTGGTCAATTACTGTTGGATAATTCTGTGCTAGAAGATGAGAAGGCAAGTTTTAAGGGTGATTTAAAGGAAGAAAGATGAGTGAACACCTAGTTGTCAGACAAACATGAAACCTCTGTTGAGGTAAGAGAGCAGAAGGTGCTAAACATTTAAAGAAGTGATGGGAGTTAGAGACAGAAGGACTGAGAAATAAGGAAGGAGATGTTTGGAGGGAAATGTTACAAAATATTTAAGGGTGAAGACTTGAAAACTAATGTGATTCAGGAATACATGGAAAAGCTTGTGTAAGATTTCAGAGGGCAGATTATATTACAGTTGATGCCTTTAGCAGCATAAGCAGCACTGTAGTGGTTTGACAACAAATGTGTAAGTTAGGCTGCCAAGACACAGGTTTATTCAGCTGAGGTAAAGGAACATGGGCCATGGATTGTGTATGAAGTTTATCTTTTAAGGGCAAGCATCTAAGAAATATGAAATAACTGAAATTTCAAATATTTAAGTAAGTAGTGATCTATGGACAATGAGATCGGTCCAGAGTATAGGTTAAGATCATGACTTCTTTAGAAAGAATAGTGGATTTTCTGGTTATGTGAAATATTTACACTGTATACATTTATAAGTGATGTAATATTTTGGTTTTAAAGAGAATATTATACTTTCAAATAGAAAAGAAAAAAATAAGAGAAAAAGTCTCTCATTTTTAGTCACAGTCTTGTATTAGCTTGTCAAAAGAATCAGATCTCTCTAGCCATACAAGTAAGCAGGATTTTTCAGAGATTTCTTGGACTTATCAGTGTTTGTTTGCAATTAACTTATCTCTGTCAGTCTTTGTAATCTTTAAAAATCCTGTATGGGCATACTCAGTAACATAAGTGTCCAAGTGTCTTTTAAAACCAGCCAGGAAAGGAAATTACTTTCCTATATGACTTTGAAACATCTGGAAAAATAGTAGCTTGAAACTGTTACTGGATACCTTTAAGTAAGGTGTGTGTGAGGTGGAAGGTTTTCTTGTGTAAGGTGACACCGGATATATTTACTATGAAATATATACCCCAGGGTTTTATATGAATTCTTATCATAAGCAGCAACAATCAGTATGAAGCTATTTAAAGAGGCAATTATAGAGAAAGAATCATTGGAAACAGTCTGCAAAAGTAATTTACTTAGATATTCATTTGCAAAATTAGTTAATCAAACCTAGCATTACCTATTAGCCTGCACAGCAGTAGATTATTCACTGTTTAAAAAGCTGTCACCCTGCAAAGCTACCTGCCTGTGTCTTTCCAATAGGATTAAGAAAGGAGGCATCAGAAGAGAAAAACATAACAAAACACAACCTTACTGCTTTACTAACAGTAGCAAGAGAGAAAAGGAATAAATTTAAGGAGCTGTCTGAAGATTTATCTTAGCCTTTCAATGGGGCCATTTTTGGTAACAGAAGATTGTGGTTGCCAGCATATGATGAGTAGTATTATGATAAAAGCACCACAGCAGGGCAGAGGAGAATAGCTACTAAGTTAAAGCAATGTGTTTCTCAAAGGAACTGCACAGTTTTGAAAAATGGCTGCAGCAAATAATGTAATTACAGAATAGAGATTGACAGTCAGCTCATAAATAGGGGCACAACTGGCAAAGAAGATAGAGACACACTTTTATTTATTTTTTAAGATTGTAGGATTTGTTCTGTCCTGCACTCCAGAATTTCCCAGTTTTCTCAGAGCAGTCTCACATCCTGAATGTAACTAATATATGAACAAAACTTATTTCCCATTTACTTACATTGAAACAACATTACAAACACCACTAGTAATAGCAGCTCAGTAAACATAAAATCAGCTTGTGTTTCACACAATGAACAACATTCATAGGGTTTGTCAGTGCTCTCAGGAATGTTCAGATCCTGTTGAATCAGAACTATCCCACAGCACCTTTACTCAGTTTAAGCTAGCTCAGACTGAAACCTGAAAGTAAAGCAAGGGCTCTTTTTCCTGCCTTTTTACTAAGAAACCAATGATTCCACAGTCAGAATTTAATTAGCATGGTGTTTGAGTCATGCTTCTGCCTCTTTTAGCACTTTAGAGGCAATAACTAGCTCAAGTGCAAAGGGCAAGATAAGTACAAAATATATGCATAGAGCATATCTAAGAGGTAGTAGTTTGTATTCTTTGTCATCAATCAAGTGTTTTGCTCAGTTTGATGGCCTTAACAGCTGCTTGTGAATTTGTTGCAAACAGCCTTCTCAGAACCTGTAAGATTCCCTCAGACCTTGTTTCCTCACAAAGAAGGGGAAACTCACCATCCTCTTTCTCCAGACTTTTCTGACAACTGGTGAGAAAAGTTGGTGACAGATACAGAAACTCTGGGTATCCTTGCCTGTTCAATTCCTTATCAGCAAATAATGTTGGGTTTGCCATTCCCTTTTCTGAAACAAGACCATGTAATTGGCTGATGGTTGCAGAAAGCCTGGTTTTGGTGGGTTTGAATAGCCAGAGTGCAAAAACAGAGTTCCAGAGAGCTCAGAGATATTTTATATATAGAAACAATTTGAGTGTCATTGTGACAGTAAAAATAAAGCTTAATTTGCAACATTACCACCCATCCTCCTGCCCAGAAACTTTATTCTGGAAGATGACAGAAATTTTTCAAAGCAGTAGAGACAGTGAAATTAGGTTTGTGTCTCAACATTTTAATTAAGTGAAAATTAAGTGAGTATCAAATTAAAATATGATATTAAATACCACATAAATGCACAATCAGTAAATCATATAAGCGAGGTTTTTGATTCCCTGGCAGTTACTGCAATTAAAGCTGAAATAACTATAACAGAGAATGTGCTATTAATAATACTGAAGAAATCCTAACATTCATAACTTTCTTAGCCACATTAATAATCTATGACTTTTTAGATGTCCTTTTAAAATGTTTTACTTGTAATATTTGGTTTTGGATGAAGTGTCAGTAAATTGTAACATCTGTGTTTTACTGGCATATGCTTACAATTGCTGTGGTTTTTAGTAATTACATTCAATCTGGTAGGTCCAGAAATGAATTACCATCTACTCTTCACAATAAGAAAGTGAAGTAATCGTGATATCAGATGCTGTTAGCATTTTGTAAGTATATACTCTTTACTGTGCAAATAATTTGCCACTGTTCACCAAGTAAAATAATGGTCATTCTTGGTGCAAGAGGAGAGGTCTTCTTTATTTTCAGTACTGTTTGAAAAACAGTACTTAGATTTCCAACTATAGTGCTGCAGATTTTCTTCTGGAATTAGTGAAAAATCCCAATTTATGTGTGATCTACAACACTAGCCTCTATGCATGAAGGTGGAAGTCAGCTGAGAGGCTGTGAAGACTGGAATTTTTAAAGTGACTTAGGTATTGCTTCATTTTTGGATGCTTGGCTCATAGAGCAGAATCAGATGCTCAGAGTTATGCTTCCTACAGGGGGATTTAGGGGCCTCTGAAGTGCAGCTGGCAGCAGCCCCTGTGCTGTGAAGAGCCTCTTAACTTGAGATTCTGAAGTGTGAGTGGGCCCTCTTAGGGTCCAGCACTACAGGTAGTAGGAAGGATACCTATATCAAATGAATACATAAATGGCAGTCGTAGAGTATGGGGTCCTTGCAAAATATGCCTTTCAATGTTGTCACTGAAGCAGGAAAATGACTGCTCCTTTTCTTTTCCAGCACAACTGCTCTTCAACACCAATTCAAGCAGCAGTGCTGAGATTCCAGCAGTTTGCTATGCTTTGGTTTATACCTCAGCCCTGTACCTGCCAATGCGGGAAGCGAGGCTGATGACCTTTCTGCGAGGTGTTTGGGACAGTGTTAAGATACTGCAACACACTTTCCTGTTGTAGCTTCAGCTCAGCCTCTGGAATTTATTTCATTAGCAAGAGAAATGATACAGCTCTCCAGTCTAAAGATGAGAGAGCATTCATCTGAAGGAAAAGGAGCTTCAGTACCTGAAATACCAGAAATACTTAGCGTGCAAGGGGCTTTAGGTGGTATTGCTCATGATCACTTTTTCAGGGCAAAATGCAATGGAAGAAAAAAGAAGTCTGAGAAAGAAATTTGTTTGTACAAGGAACAAGGCAAACACATAGCATCAGAAGCAGAAGAGATTGTAAGGACACATCTTGTTTTGCTGGTTTAGGAATTGGTATATTTTAGTTCTTGCAGTTGTTAAAAAAATAGTCATTATTTCTTTCTACTGAAGATCTGGGGTTAGACCTCAAAGTAGGTCTTGCAGTGTTGTAATCAATGAATTTAAGTAGTTTTAATCTTTTTTTTTTAAATTACATTGCTTGAAGGGCTGTATTTACTTCTGACTTGGTGATGATCTTAAAACAATCATTTTCACTCTTAAATTGGGATATATGCTGCTCCTGTACTGGAACAATGGAAACCCTTGAAACTTCCATGCTGATGTTCAGAAGAATACAGAGTAGAAACCATATAACCATGTTGAAATTTCCCTTGTAGTTTGAGAATGTAAAGTTACTGAGATCCAGTCAAGAGCAGAATGTTGTACAAGAGAAGCTACTGTTGGCTGAAAATAAAGATGTTTGCTTCTACCTTCATTTAACTGAGCTCATCCCTGTGGAGCTTTCATGTGTGAAGAAATACATTATTCACACTCCTTAGATATAGCAGCATTGTGGTTCAGCCTAAAAAATTAACAAAATTACCATTCAATGCCTGCCTGAGCTTAATAATCAGCCTTGTTAACCCCTTTAACCTTCACTGCATCTATTCTGAAAGAAAAACATGTTTCTAAGAGG